AATTCTAGGTTATTAGTCTATTGTCTTTCTTAGGTATATTTAATTTATGTTAGTTAATTTACTGTTTATTGTAATTTCATTTTAATTAATTTTTTACAAATTTTAATGACTTAAATAAGAGTAATTTGTTATAGATTTTTAGTACTTACTAAAATTTCGAAACAAATCCCTGTGGGAATCATACTCTACTTATTTTTATAGTACTTGTTTGTGATAACGTGCACTTACGTGAAAATTCAACAACAATATGGAGTTAAAAATTCCTCTCTATTTGTATATCTAGAATCACATAACTAGTAAAAACCTATGATATAAAATATTTTTAGATCAGAAATAAAATATATCAAGCTAACACTATAATCTTATAATTATTAATTTAACACATGCTATCCCCTTACCTTTGGGGATTTTCAAATTGTTTTTTCTAGAGATTGCATCTTGAAGAGCACTAGAGTCTACAGTAAGATATATATGAACTGCATATCTTGTGAACATACCCTCAAGATATTTGTAGCAATCTCATTCTTCCTTGTTCTATATCTAGGCTTATCATTTTCCAAGGCATTGACTTTAACATATGTCTCATCTAAAGCACCTAAACAATTCCATTGTTGCAAATAAAATGGTGACAAAAATATATATCTTATTAGATGCAAATTAATAAAATTTTATATTTAAATTATAAAGATAACTCAATTTAAGTTTACTTTAAACCATGTCCATCGTAGGTCAATTGAATTCTCGATTATAGGCTATGTATTCTTCAATAATATTGCTTGTAATCTCAACATAGAATATAAAATAATGCCAAATTGCCTACTCATTGTTTCACTGCTTCTAACAAACTCTCTCTTTATTATCCTATTCTTTGCATGACAAGCAATAATGTAAAAAAAGATAGCAACTATTTCATCAACAATCATGTGTGTTGTTGGTTTAAGCCAACCATTGGTTACAAGCATATGGCACAGTTTATAGAAGGCATTCTTATCCATTTGAGTATGTTCAACATATGTTATATCAGAATTAAACATCATTCTTCTAAAGTTCAATTATCTAATAATATGCCTTTCATAACTAATACCATTATATGATCTTTTACATTTTCTTTTCTTTAAGCGAACGAAATAATATTGATCAAGCAAAGCAATAATTATCACTACTATTGTATATAACTGTAACGCCAATGGAATAGTAGACGTAATCATTTCAATTTGCTGTTTAGAATATTGCTCATTATGTGAACTACAATATAAAAAGTAACATTAATAAGTGTAATGCAACAGTTAGTAATCAAACTGCATAATGTATTGTACATTAGAAAAAATTTCTCTAAATAGAAAGACGATCCACTTTAAACATGTAGCTCTCTTAGAATTAATACAATAGAGAATGAAACAAGAAGTACAAGTACATGAATGAAACAAGGTTTAATTAACAATAACTAGCTAAAACACATTGTACATAGCATTTAATCCATATTTGTAAAGACAAGGAAAAAAAGAGTTCACGATTTCAACTTTAATACATTTTTTTTTTGTTTGGACACTATATAATGTCTTTTGCTAATGATATTATTATCAATACTATATAAACACTACTATTGAAACACATAATTGAAACACTGTATAAACACTGCTACTAATATTATTATCAACATAAAATCCTATTGCCAACCTCACTAACCATTAGGAAAAATAAAAAAAAAATCTTGGACCTACCATCTAACATAAGGTATTATCAAACCAAAACTATTATTCTAAATCTAACAAGAAAGTGATAATTCTCCCTCTTGTCTTGTCCTTTTTTTTCCTTCTTTTCCTGTGCTTGCATCCTTTTTTACTCTCTCTATCTCCCCAATGCTAGTATTTCTACAATAACTGAGCCCTACTAAAACTCTTTAAGCAAGCTTCAATTGTTTCCTTCAATTGCCTAAACTCTATAAACCTTCCACATTGCAACAAAACCAAGCCCTATACATCTGAGCTTATGAAACACACTCAAGCTGAAAACCCCTAATTTAAAAGAATATTGCACTTGTACAAATATTTAAAAAACGCCTAATTTACTCAAGCTAAAAAGCTCTAATTTCTAGAAAAAATGAATGCTTACCATTGTGATATTTTCTAGAAAATACTTACGCAGAATTTAGTAAATAGTCATGATTTGCTTGGATAATATCTTTTGTTATTTATTTTTTTGCCTTTTCTTTTTTATTGATTTTTTGTAAAAACTAAAAGTAAAGGTATCAACTAAAAAAACCCTAAAATTATAGTAATTTTAGCCTATATATTTTTATCAAATTCTCAATATTTACATATTCATTTGAATTTATTTTTCAATCGTATCATGTGCTCACTTTTACTAACTTGAAAATTGAAATCATGATAATTTATTTGATAAAATTAAGCACTTGGGTGGATTTGTGGTGTCAATAGCTAGAATACTGATTAGTTCCTCGGCTTGGCGAGTCTCCAAGTTATTTTCTGGTGTCATATCTAGATTTGTTAGATTGATAGTTATTTTCTTAGTGAATCTTTTTTAACATGGACGTAAGTAGTCAAAAATACTAAACCACACAATCTCTTTTCGCAAAGGATAATTACCCTTTCATTCTTACCTTTTGTTTTTTTGTTTTTTCCCTTTTCTCCTTCTCTTCCTTTAGCATTGCTCCATGGTGATTGGACTTTCCTATCCCTTTCTGGATCTAGTCACATGGATGTTAAATTTAGAGTTTCTAAGATCAAATACGACCTCTTGAGGTTAGATTTGGTGGACAGGTCAATATAATCTTTTGGAGGCTCGATTTGACATTGATTAGGTTATCAATGAACTCCAAAGAAAGATTTGGCCTCGTAAGTTTTGAACCAATCTCTCAAAACTAGGTTCAACTTGTGAAGATTGATGTAGCTTTGTTAATGATAGCTGCAGATCCGACATCTAACCCTTTCAAAAAAAAAAATTCAAATAATAGATTAAAAGATCTTGAAAATAAGGAAAAAAAAATAGTACTTACAGTCTCCCAGTTAGCAAATTATTAATTTCTTATTTCCTTTTTGCTAAATATTTTCTACCATAGTAGCTGGCTCAAATTACTTATGTTCTATTGTCCAATTTTGTAATTCCCCCGAGAATTGATTCCCCCTTCTCCTTTGATATCGTGCGGACCATGCTGGTCCTTAATTTTAAAAATGGACAAAAAAATTGATGTGATAGAGGGATGGACAGGGCCATAGCCACATCATGTACAGTGTTCTTGGCTATAAAACCCTAATTTTATAATTACATGTCTTGGCAAAAGTTTTGTAATTTCTTATATTTATCTCATTAAAATTAAAAAAAATTCTTCAAGAGAGCTGGTCAAGTATGTGCATTTTTCATTGTTTTTATTCTAACAATAAGTATATATGTTGCTTTCAAAATATTTTTAAAATTTTTCTATACTTGTATTATATATATAATCATACCTACATTAATAGGCACATTTGATTAAAATGAGAAATACGGCATAATATTAAATATAATTATTCTATATAAAAGTAAAATCAATTATTTTATTATTTATATAAAGATTAAGTTATAATTCTTAGTTATTCAAAAAGGTTTGTTTACTTTTGTATCTTTTATACATTTTTTTTTTACATTTTGCTATGAAAAGTAAAAGGTAAATCACAGAAGTAATATTCAAATGATATATAAATGAATTAATTTACAAATTCCATGAAAAGCTATATTATAGGCATGATTGTAAAGAATAATATATGATTATAATAAATTTTTTTATTAGAATTCTTGACTAATATGTCAAATATTTTTGAATATTTAGAAAAAAACTTTAGATCAAATGCAAAAATTTCTTTAAAAATTCAATGTATAAAAATATGTGTTTATATAATTTGAATTAGAATATGATAGTGGTAACTTTTACTCCTCAGTGGGTTATAAAGAATTTAATCCTCTTCTTAATAAGTAAGAAGAAATTTGTTAAAATTAATATGAAGTGATCCAACTCAAGTCTTAATAACGTTAATAGTTCTTCCCATTCAATTCTCACATGTGCATCAGTGCATGTGTACCTGTACTCTTGGTTGGTGCAGGGATTTCGTAGGCCTGTGGTTGTTGGGATCGCAGCCTTAAATATAACACTCCAAGTTTAGAACTCTATGGCAAACTCGCAGTGTTGAGCTTGTTCAGCTACTTTGTTTTTCTTTTATGCTTCAACATCAGATGTTTTTAAGAAATTTGACATTACAATTCTCTTTGAAAAATCTCATCATTGGTGGCTTTCATTTAGTTGGGCAATCAATATTGTAAATGCATGTGGTGATGCAACATAAAATAAGACTAACGAGGAAGCAATTTTGTTAAAAACATTATTCATTCCTTTTTTATTGTTTTCATTAAAAATCTTTTTTAATGTTTATTTCCATTTTTGAAAATTTATGATTATGTGAAATTAATTCATATATTGAAATAAAAGAGCTCTCCCAACACTTTGATGAAACCAACTATATATATATTATTCCTCAAGTTAGGAAGACTTTTTTAAAAATGGCATTACAAATCCTAAAAGGATTCCATAATAAGGTACTTTTTCAAATAATCTTTTTTATTAATAACTTTATTTAAGTAGATTATTATGTAAATTATTAAGCAATTATTACTAATTTGAATTAAACATAATAAATAAATAAATAAGCAAAAACAAAATGGACAAGGGATTACAGTATTTGCAATTTTGCATTTTTCTGTATTTTTTACAATTATATTTAACTTGTAACTATATCATAATTTCAATGGAAAGACATTATAAAATAATTAAAAATAGTTTATATAATACTTAATTCTTGTCAAGAAGTTAAAACCATAAAGTTTGATTTCAGATGAAAAGAGTACATAACTTATAATAATACTTCTTAATAGAACATCAATCTTTTATTCAAAAAAAAACAAAAAGGGGAACCCTTGAAACACACTGTTGGCTTCCCACCCATATTCAAAAGCTGGCTCCGTCCCAGGTAGCAGCCGATATCGAAATTTAAACTGATGATATGTGGGCCATGGCTGGCTTGTAACTAGGGATGTGAATTTAAAGCAAAGCTACGAAGCACCACGGTTTCCACAGTGAGACCCGGCCCAAAGCCGAAAAGGACCCCCCACTCTAAGCCTTCACCGGCGGTGGCTTTGCCTTCCAAGATTGACATTTTCCTCATCTCATCCAGAACGAAGAGCACACTCGGACTCCACATATTTCCATATTCACTTAGCACATGCCAACTGGCTTTGAGCTTCTCCCTGTCCAAACCAAGTTTTTCTTCAACTCCTCTAAGAACAGCTGGGCCACCAGGATGGACTATGTAAAACAATGTCTTCCAATCGCCAATGCCGAATGGGATCAACGCTTCAATCAAGCATTGCTCGATGTTGTTAGCAATGCACCTAGGAAATCTCTAGACAAGTAATACTCCATTCCCATTTCACGTATTTTCGCTACTATTTTATCAGCAGAATCGGGGATAATTGTCTGATGCGCTGATACAATTTGAAACAAAGGGCGCTCGTTGATGGTGGTATCAGGATTAGCACCAACAATCACAGCTGCAGCCCCATCAGAGAAAAGTGCAGAGCCCACCAGTATGTCTAAGTGGGTCTCTGAGGGTGGTTGGAAACACTCAACCATGAGCTCAGAGCACACAATAAGTACTCGAGCACCAGCATTGTTCTTTGCCAAATCCTTGGAAAGGCGAAGGGCGGTCCCAGCAGCAAAGCAACCTTGTTGATAAATCATGAATTTCTGAACAGAAGGTTTTAGGCCAATGAGCCTAGCAAGCTGGTGGTCCGCACTGGGCATGTTTATGCCTGATGATGTACAAAATATAAGGTGTGTGATCTTTGATATGGGTTGTCCCCATTCTTTGATGGCTTTTAATGCTGCTTCCTTACCAAGCTTGGGTACTTCTGTGACAAGAATATCTTGACGAGCATCAAATGATGGAGCCTTGTAGATTATTAAGTTTGGGTTCTCTTTGATAATATCTTCAGTAAGATGCATGTAGCGTTTCTTTATTGAGGATCTCTCACCTGTCACCAAAATCACAATCAGATAAATCAGAAGGATTGAAAATTTTGATCCAAGAATGAAATCTCTAGCAATTCCATTCCACCTATATATGTGTTTGATGGAAACTCTCTTGATACTTACATATTCGTTTGAATTTGTCTTTCAATTCTATCTTGTGCTCTCTTTTGGTAACTCTAAAGTAGAAATCAGAGTAGTCTACTTGGTAGAAGCAGTGGGGTGGATTTGTTGTGCCAATAGCTAGAATAGTGACTAGCCCCTCAGCTTGGTGAGTCTCCAAGTTTTTTTCTGATGCCATATCTAGAGCTGTTTGCTTTGTTACTTTAGTTAATGTTCTCAAAATTGGGTTTATATAGAACCGATTTGAAAAACTATAGTCTGTACATTGCAGGTTTCAGTATTAGGTTTCGATGTTCATGGAGGTTTTAGGTTTGGTGGGTTAATTAGATTCCTAGCATTCATCGAGTGTTTGACAGAGAGCACTTTAGGCATGTTTAAGTACTATAGAGATTGCTTAGGTGAAGTTCTAAATTGTAAAAGTTATCATAATTGAATTCATGCGTATAAACCTAATTTCAGAATCAGTCAAAGCTTTCCGTCTAAATGCATGAAATATAATGATTAATGTCTTATCTTGAAACGTTTTAATTTTTGGAATACTGATTTTTTTATTACAATTTGATTTTTAATACTAATGGTAATCATAATTTGAATTGAACTAACTATTTTCTAGGTTTTTTTTTAAATGAATAGTAATTTGCCATGATTTTGTTAAGTGAAAATCCTTCTATACTTTACACTTGGTCATCATCAAATTCATTGTATCAATGCATAAAATTGATGGCATCAAAGCTTCCTTCTTTATGGAATTTGATCTCCATCTCTCCCACTTGATCGTTCTTAATGGCAGCTATAATTAGATCTAGTAAAAGATGAATAAATAAAGATTCACCTAAAATTTTAAATGTTGTTTTCTCTTTCACAAAAAGAAAGTATACTTAAAAAAGGGAAAATTAAACTTGTTTGAAGGATAATCTCATATGCTTAGTCATGTTTAAGTTATACAATTAATCGTTGTATTTTGATAAGTGATGGATTTAGTCCTTATATAATAATTTATAAAAACTAAGTTCATATATTTTTTTAAAATTGACAATGTTAGTTCAAAGTGTTAAAATTTTTCTATTAATTATGTTGATATGATATTTTCTTATTGATATGACATTAAATATGATGATATGATTTTCCGTTACCGACAATGACGGATCCAGGATTTTGTATGAGGGTGGCGAGTAATCAAACAACGTCATGGATTAGGCTAATGATTCGATTAGAAATAAAAAATTAATTATTTTTTAAATAAAATTAAATTATAATATAAAATTTCATTGACAATTTAAATATAAATTTTTAGATTCATCAATATAAATAGACATAAAGTAGACAGAAAAAATTAACATTAGATTTTTATATTAGGCATCATGAATTGTACTCGATGTACTTTCATACTTTAAATGCATTTATGACTAAATTCGAATCAATAATCTTGCCAATCTTTTTCTCAATGTAAAAGATAAGCGAACAAGTAAGAAAATCATTTTACATCTTATTATACAATCTTGTTTTGACAATATTCTTAACTGAAAAAACACCTTCTGTAGTTGTTATAGAAATTAAAAAAGTTAACATAAGTCAAACTAATCGATCTAGAAAGGGATATATAATTGATTTTTTTTATCTTTAATATTAATTGGCATAGCTTTGAGAGAGTTGAAACACTTTTCAAACATGGATATTGCCTAATACTAAGTTCAAAATACTCCAATTCATATTTCATATGCAATTAAACGATTTAGGAGACAATATACAATTGATTTTTTTGCCTTTAACACTAATTGGCATATAGCTCTAAGAAAATTGAAACACTTTGCAAATGAGTCTTGCAAAGTATCAAGTTTAATGTCATCAATCTTGAATGATTAAATTCATCTTTAGGATCAAAAGATGAGTTAAGGAAAAAAGGAAAAATAAAGAAAAGAGAAATAATTTCAAAATTTGGGTCTAGATGAGCTAGGGAAAAAAAAGAAAAATAATTTCAAATTTTGAGCTAAGGAAAAACAAACATGGATATTGTATAATATCAAATTCAATGTCATCAATCTTGAATAATTAAATCCATATTTAAGATCAAAAGATGTGTTAAAGAAAAAAAAGAAAAATAATTTAAAAATTTGAGCTAAGCCAAAAAGGAAAAAAAAAATTTCAAATTTTGAACTTAAAAGAGATTGAATTTAAGCATTCAAAATTTAAATTAAATTTCTTACCATTATTCCAAATCAAACTGTTTTAATTTATTTAGAGGTGACAAAATTATATTTTTTGTGTTTACATATATAAAATAAAAAAATTAAACCCTCCATCACCCGTCTTTCTCCGCCTCTGATTACCAACAAATGTATTTGTATGGATCTTATTTATACCACTAGAAGTCTGCGAAGAGTATTAAAAGCTGACTAAGTAAGTCATAACAGTAAATTAAAAAACTAATTAACTAATAACCAGTTTAGTTATTAGTTTCTACAATGGTAAAACAGTAAAAGTAACTTTTACAATAAATAATGCAAACATCAGGCTTCAGCCTTCGCTTCACTTCATTACTGATTTTCAGTCTAATAAAGTAAGATTCAGGTCGCCTCGGTGCTTTAAGGGTGCACCTGAGCATCGCTGTGATACTTTTGGCATGCTACGCTTCTTGAACGTGAAAACCGTTGTTTGTTTTGGTACAATGATTGATTCAAATGGCTTCCATGACAGTCCGTCACTCCAAAGTGAATTACGGACACGCTTTTTTGCTTCTCCTGGTCACAGACGGGCATGCTCGCTTTGCAACATGATTGAAGGCGTACAATAATTAATCGGGAATGCTTCCTCCACAATTCCGTCCTTCCGACGAGCACGGACCACTTTGTGCTCCTATCACTCCATATAGGAACGACCAACGGTTAACTTTTTTTTTTGTCCGGTTAATAATTTTTTTTTCTGGAACAAGTCATACTTATTAAAATATTAAAAAAAAAAGAAAATGTGAAAAAATGATAAAATTAGATTTAAAAGAAAAATAAATTATAATAAAATATTATATTAGAAACTATGAAAATTTGTATAACCGAATGTGGAATGGGCTTTTTATTATGAAAAAGTGAATGCATCATCACACTTTAGAAAATCTCGGCAGAAAGGCTCTAAAGATGCAGGAACTTCCCATCAGGTGACCAAAAAGCCCAAAGATACGGCTAGCTCAGAGAAGCATGTAGGTCTTGTTGAATAATTTGTAATAATTGCGAGTCTTACGTCCGTAGATAATTATTCAAGATATGATTGTTTATATTAAAATATAATTTTTTAAATAAATAAAAATATTTTTAACAAATACAATTATTAAAAATTAACAAATTATTCAATCTGTTAAACTTTAACAAAATACATCTGTTGAAGTAATAACAGATATAACTTTTTACTGTTCATAAAAAGACAGTAAGATAGACTACATCTTTAAAAATGCATTTTGTAATAAGCTTGCTGTATCTTGGAGAGTCATAAGTTGCAAATCTCCATAGTAAGTAATAATTCTTTTAAAAAAAGTGGGTTACAACAACTTTAAGCCTACTTTTTTCTCTTTTCTTATGCTATTTTTCTAACAATTTTAAACAATTGTTCTTAGTTGAGTTTAATCCAAATTTGAAAGTTTATTATGTTATGAATCCGAGTCTTATTGCACTTTCAAAATCAAATTAATGAAAATTCTTATGCACAAAAGGTAGAAAGGAAAAAACATGAAGAAGATGAATTGATATGCTATGGTCATATTCTAAACATTTGGATAGATCGTGTATATAATCTCTACTCCAATTTGAAGATTCTAAAGGAAATTTGGGTAGCTTTGGAAACTACCTATAAGTATGAAAAATGAGGTATTGACAAATTTTTATTCTTAAAATATTTTGAGTTTAACAAAAGTGATAATTTGCCTATTATGGATCAAGTTCATGAACTATAAGTTTAAGTTTTAAAACTAAAAGACATTGAGGTTAAGGTTACTAATGCACTACAAATATGTGCAATTGTTTTCAAACTGCCTCAATCTTGGAATAATTACAAAAAGAAGGTTTTATATTTTGTTGATTCTTTATCAGTGGAATAATTCATGGTTAAGATGCAAATAGAATGTGAAGCATGTATACGTGATGCACTATTTCAATCTTCTGATTCTAATGTAACTTTTGTGAGTTAGAATTTTAATAATTTTGAAAAAAAATATTAGAGCTCTAACAATTCTACGAAATCCAAGTCATTTGCACTGAAGGCTACAAGAAAAGTTTTAAGAAAAACAATACAAAAAATATAAATTGTTTCCACTGTGAAAAGAAAGACCATATGATTAGTGAGTGCAAATAAAGGAAGGCACGAAAGAAATTTGGTTTTAAAAATCTTGAAAATGCAAATATAGTTCTATAATGAATATTGGAATGGTAACAAAATTGAATATTACTATTGGTTCCAATAAAGATAAAGATTGGTGGTTGGATTTGGTGCTATAATTCATGTATGCAATGATAGAAATTTGTTCAAGACTTGTAATGAAGTTAATAAACCAGAAGATATTTTGATGGGAAATCATGTTACTTTCAAAGTTGAAAGGAAAGGGACTGTCGAGTTGAATTTCACTTCTAGACAGAAGCTGAAATTACTTAATGTATTTCATGTTCTTGAAATTTGAAAGAATTTAGTTTCTACTAGTTTGCTTGCAAAGATAGGATTTAAAATTGTAATAGAATATAACAATGTAATAGTATTTAAGGGTGGCCTATTTGTAGGAAAAGGATACTTTTGTGATGGCATGTACAAGTTCAGTATTAATGATATAAATATGGTTTTTGCTTATACTATTAAGTCTGATTCTTTAATGTGGCATGCTAGAGTAGGGCATTTCAATTTTGATTTCATGAGATTTATGTCTAAAAATGGTTATATTGCATGTAAATCTGAGTACTTAGAAAAATGTGAAATATGCATACAAGTAAAAATGACAAAGAAACCTTTTCATAATGTAAAAAGAAATTCACAATTATTAGATATTTTGCATTTTAATATATGTGAATTAAATAAAAAATTAACTAGAGGAGGAAAGAGATATTTTATAACTTTCATAGATGAATATTATAGGTTCACTTATATTTATTTAATTAAAACAAAAAATAAAGCTTTTCATAAATTTAAAGAATATATATCTGTTGTGAA